CCCCACCCCACACCCCACAGCTCTATTGTCCATACATTTACAGCACAACCATAAATACTTGAACTGATCCCGATTCAAAATGCACACAAGTATAGCACCCAAAGGTGCGGGGAAAGGAGTATTACTGCCGATGAAACGGTTAATAATACGAAAAATGATGCAAATATTAACTGTCTGTTTATATATTTAAATAATAGCGGAACTGTTATGAAAAATCATTAATCATGTTATTAATAAATTAAAACATTTTATGATAATTCTTACCGAAAGTTCCCAGAATATAACCACTGGTTTTAAATGAGGTGAACAGTGACACCCATTTCATAGTAGTGTTGAGTATGAATTTCATGTCAACCATAATCGGCGAATATACCGAATATACAATGGCCTATATTTGTAAAACATAATTTGATAATTTTATATTTTTATAATTAATATATAATACATACATAGGAAATGCCACTTCCAAACAAAATAGCCGTATACACATATCGATCCCATTTGGACAAGTCTATCGGGCTCTTTAGGAATCCCATTATTTTTGTAGATAGAAATATTTAATATGCTAGATCATACTAAGAATTTACTTTTATATATTTTAAATTCACTCGAACCTGTGCACTTGAAATCACGTTCATAAATCTTGATAATTGTCTTATACACATTATTAATGATCATTATCACACCCATTAAATTGAAATTTTGTAATTATTGCTTACATTTATTGCAATTTATTTAATAGCAATTATGTTATTATATATCCTATAATTACTTTAAATTACAGTGGTATAAATAGTTTTTGTCTCTATGTATCTATGTATAAATTTTAAATTCAATAAAAATTGTGGCACATTATTTTAAATATTCAATACTTCTTTAAGCTCATCATTTAAACAATAAAGTGGTAATTGTAATAAAATATTATTTAACACTAAATTATAAAACTAAATTATTTTATTGTTGTATATTATGATTGAAAATTGTGATTATTTGAAATTATTTTTAAATAAAGTGAATTGAAGTGAACAATGTATGATATGATAGATAATTTTGTTAAAACACATTACATATTCACCTGCGGTTATGATTGGTTTAAATTGGTCTTTACAAACTAACTGTTTAATAAATTATCAATCACAATTAAACCATATATATCTGAATGGAAATAATATTTTAGAAAGTTTTTACTGAATTCATTTTGGAGTGCTGTATATTTTATTTAATTTTTGTATAAAATATTATTAGATTTCTCAATAACAAGTAACTAAGACTATTATAATATTTATGTTATTATTGCTTTGTATAAATAATAAATCACTACCTTATCACAAATATATTGCTTTGTATATCTTATAACAATTTATTATTTAAATAAATATTTATTTTGTTAGCATCAAGGTATTAAAATTCCAATCAGCACATGCTAACATAATTACATATTTTTTAAATTGTTAAACCATTGATGCATTTTTTAAAATCAATAAAAATTAAAAATACTAATACATTAGCACATTTTCTAACTTTACTCAACATTATGACATTATGTTAAGTTTTGTTTTTTTACGATTAGCTTTAAAAATGTTTTCCAACAAAAACATGC